TTTTAATAAAATATTTATTTCTTTTGCATGGCAGTTAGAAATAAAGACCTGTATATTAATACTAAGTCCTTAACTTTTTTTATGATCTTGACTGTTTCTTCCGAGCAAAAAAAAAAATCCCTAAAGACTAAATCCCTAAAGACTAAAAATCCCTAAAGACTAAATAACTTGACTCCATCATCTTGAACAACATGGCATCACCCTCTGGGAGGCACCTGAATGGCGACTTGGACCCAGACGACAGGAAAGAGGGAGCTGCCTCTATGAATGAGGAGGCTGTCAAGAATAATAAAAAAAAAACGACAGAAGAAGAAGTGTAAACCGCCTCTTGCAGAGCAATAAGAAACTGATAAAGAATCAGTATCATTTGATGAGGTGACAAAACAATGCTTCTATTACATGAAAAATTTTGAAGTTGGACATGTGCCAATAAGGCTTCAAAGATTAAAACACTTGCTAAATGTCATCAATTAAAACTTTGGGACCCTCGCCTTCTGCCACAGATGGTTGGATCGCTTGGGAGAAAGCAAATACTTGATGGCTATAAAGAACCTGTGTGACTTGGGCATTGTAGACCTATATCCACCATTACTGGGACTGTAAAAGATCACACACAGCTCATTTGAACATACCATATAGTTGTGTGCAACGTGTAAAGACGTTGTCGGAAGAGGTGATTATTAATCTTAGTTCAAAAGCCACCTCAACGTTGACCTTTATTTTCTAAACTTTGTTGGATTACATTATGCCAGATTTAATTTGGAACATATTATTTGTTGTTAATAGTGGACCTATGTAATACTTTGATCCATATTGCTAAAGGAAGAAATTTGATCAAAGGCGAATCTTCTAATGTAATTAACTGAGGAAAAAGTTCCCAAGACTTTCAAAAAACTAGGAAAATGCCATAGAGTTCAAATTAGTTTGGAATGAGTTACACATTCTGTTGTGGACACTTAAGAGATCTGGTATTGCTTTTTAAACTTCCTTAAATCCATTTTCTAAAAAAAATAAAGACATTTTCAGAAAAAAGAAATCTAAATAACTTGACCACTTATAAAGTATATTTTTATATTCTAGGTAAGTAAGCAAGTTTACATTTAAGAAGAAAGTCTAAATATGCCTTTTTTTAATTACATTTCCAAGTGCGAGTTGCATTCCTGGTTCTACATCACACTTTCATTTCCTGCTAACCTTCCTGGTTTAGGATTATATAACTGGTATAAAACTCTTTTGTCAACACTCAGTTTGCATTTACCTCACAAATTTTCGTTTGATATATTTCATATATATTCACAAAATAGTTTGTTATATTAACTACAGTGTACATTTTTACACTTTCCATTGCTAAGAAATATGAATAAGAAATCTTTTTTAATTTAAACATTTACCTTGTATAAGAGATTGAATTATCTTCCTCTCCTGACACCTAGCGAGGTGGCATATTGCAGGTACACAGGAAAAGCCTTCGGGAGGAGGTGCTGGGTGAACACGGAGAGTGCACGCACCACTCCCCTGGGCATAGGGGAAGCCTGGAAGCTGCGCACTGGTGGAAGTAACCTCAGATAATAGCGAGGAGGCATATTGCAGGTACACAGGAAAAGCGGTCGGGCCCTCGGGTCTGCGCCCCTTAGGCCATGAAGGAAAACATAATCTACACAGGAGTTCTACAGGACACGTCACCTTCCCTTGGAAACAGTACCACTAAACTTAAGAGACTCTGGTCAAAAGATAAAAAAAGTCAGCAGTTGACATGTTTGGAATCACAGAATCCAAGAAAGCTTCAGATATAAGCCATCAGATCATGGGTTGGACAATGGAAGATATTTTCTGAAGGGACTTGGCAGATGTGAAGGGTTATCCTGGTGGAGGG